TTGACATCTCTGTTTCTGTATTTTCAGTGTTTTAGCTTTGATTTATTTTTGTGACTTCCCTATCTGGGTTGATATCTGGTTGCTCTGTCCTGTGTTCTAGTCTTGGGTTGTTATCTGATGTTGTTGATTTTCTAGTGAGAGGACTCCCTTTAGCATTTTTTGTAATTTTGGTTTGGTTTTTGCAAATTCCCTAAACTTCTGTTTATCTGGAATTGCCCTAATTTCACCATCATATTTAAGAGACAGTTTTTCTGGATATATAATTCTTGGCTGGCAGTTTTTTTCCTTCAAGGCTTTATATATGTCATCCCATTGCCTTCTTGCCTGCATGGTTTCTGCTGAGTAGTCCGAGCTTATTCTTATTGACTCTTCTTTGTAGATGACTTTTCGTTTCTCTCTAGTCAGTCTTAAAATTCTTCCTTTATATTTGGTTTTGGCAAGTTTGATTATAATATGTCTTGGCGACTTTCTTTTGGGATCTACTTTATGTGGGGTTCCATGAGCATCTTGGGTAGATATCTTGTCATCTTTCATGATATCAGGGGAGTTTACTGCCAACAGATGTTCAACAATTCTCTCTGTATTTTCTGTTATCCCCCCTGTTCCGGTACTCCAATTACTCGGTTATTCCTCTTAATAGAGTCCCACATAATTCTTAGTGTTTCTTCATTTTTTAAAGTCCTTTTATCTGATTTTTTCCTCAAATAAGTTGGTGTCAAGTGCTTTATCTTCTATCTCACTAATTCTGACTTCCATTGCCTCAATTCTGCTCCTATGACTTTCAATTAAGTTGTCTAATTCTGAAATTTTATTGTTAATCTTCTGGATTTCTGATTCTTGTCTCTCTGTGGATTCTTTCAGCCTGTTAAATTTGTCATTATGCTCTTCTCTAATTTTCTTAAGTTCCTCTATTGCTAGGTCTGCATTTTGACTGATCTCCTTCCTGATCTCTCAAAGAGTTCTGTATATTAATCTTTGTAGTCTACCTCCAGTAATTCCAAGAAATTCTCTTCATCTGGAAAATTCCTGGATACTTTATTTTTGGAGCTTGCTGAAGCCATCATAGTCTGCCTCTTTATGTGATTTGATATTGACTGTTGTCTCCGAGTCATCAATAAGTTATTATATGTATTTATTTTATGCTTGCTTACTGTGTCCTAGTTTCTTGTTTTGTTTTGCTATGTCTAAATAAGCTGTTCATGTGAGCTAGTCTGATCACCAGTTCCCCTGAAGCTCCAATGTCCTGCCACCAGGTCGCCACACCAGCCACTAATATGTGAGCCCAGGAGTCCGCCCACTCCTCCTGTATGGATTCAGCTCAGGTGTCCTGGTAGTCGGCCACCACGTGTGTGGTGCAGGCTCTCACCTGCAGTCCTAGACAGGCATGGGTGATTGGTGTAGGCACAGGCATCTGGCTGTAGCAGGGGGTCACACAATGAGGAAGGCAGGGGGCAGACAGCCACCCCCGAGTGTCCAGGAAGAAAGTGTGTCCCTGTTCCCTAGGGTGCTTAGGTGGATGGGTTTTGCAGCTGGACTATGAGTACCCAGTGCTGTTGGCTGTAAGGAGTAGGGGGCACCACATATTCTTGGGCCACTGTTGCAGGTGGCTAGGTGGCATGGGTGGAGCCACCAGTCCTCAACCCTCTGATGTGGGTACGTGAAGACCCTGCTTAATAGGCAGAGCAGTGCCAAATGTCAGGAACCTGCCACTTCACAGCTAAAACAGTTGAAGTTAGACTTCGGGTATATACCCTGTTGTACTGTGGTAATGAGGGCCTGTGCTGTTGAAATGGGCCCACACAAGTCTCTGCAGGGGGAAAGGCACTCAAAGCCCATGGACCCCTTATGCTTGTGCCTAGGCAAAGGAGCTGTGCCTACCCTGAGTTCCTGCCTTAGGGGAGCTGGCAGATTATTTTCTGTTTGTTAATTTGTTCACTCTCCGAGGCTGGGCACGTGATGGGTCGGGGCGTGTGATGGGTTCTACTTCCAGCCCAAGGGACTTGGCAATTGCTGAAGCCGGTCCTGGACCCAGTGAGAGCAGGGAGCTGGGAGGTAAATGGGAGAGAGGTTTTTCCCAAAGAGGGGTGTTTTTGATCCATGCGGTAGGCCAGACGTAAGTACTTATCTTTTACCAATTGAGGGCTGCTTCTCACTGGTTCTGGATGGCCTAGTAGACTCTCTGCCACTGGGTCTCTCCTGGTGTGGAAAACACCTCCCGAGCGCTGCTGCTTGCCTGCCTCATCACGCACCATGAGCTGATCTGGCCTGAAGGGCTCAGGCTCTTTCTGGGCCAAGTCTGGCAACTCCTGACTGCTTCCAAACCATCTCTCCCTCCCCCTGCCACTCAGTCTGCTTCCTCAACTTTGCCTTTAATGTTCCGGGCTCCTAGATTGTCATATATAATCGATTCTCTTGTTTTTTCGGGTCTTCGTTGTAAGAGGGACAACAGGAAGCATCTGACTACTCCGTCATCTTGGCCCCGCCTCCCCCTGGGAGATTTTTTTAAAAAAATTTTTATTCCTAAGTATTTTATTTTTATTGTGGTAAATACATAAGTAACAAAACATTTGCCATTTCAACATTCTTCACATGTACAATTCAGTGACATTGTTTGTCTTGTTGTTCAACCATCACCATTATTCATTTCCAAATTTTCCCATCACCCCTAACAGAAGCTCAGTGTCTCCTAAGCAATGAGTCCTCCTTCCCCCTCCCTTCTGCCCATCTGATATTTTTTTTTAGCACTACTGTGCTGAGATATTGTTTACATAGGGTAAAATGCATAGATTCTAACTTGCTGGATGAGTTTTTACGTAAGTAATCACCAGGGTGATTGTGACTGAGATCAAGACCCAGAACATTTCCAGCACCTGTAGGCTCCTTCATGGCTCTCCCAGTCATTTCCCCCAGGGCTAACTGCTATTCTGACCTGTTGTTGGACTTCATTGTAGCAGGTACTCATTTTGTGTCTGGCTTCTTCTGCTCAGCTGGGAGGTTCATCCATGTTTTTTCCTGTATCAGTAGTTGCTTCCTTTTTGTTGCTGAGAAGTATTCTGTTGTATGAATATCAAAACTTGTTTCTCCTTTCTCCTGTTGATAAACATTTGTGTCATTTCCAGTTTAGGGCTATAATGAGTGAAGCTGTTATGAACATATGCACATGTTTTTGTTTCTCTTGGGTAAATATTTAGGAGTGAAATAGCTGGAGCAGAGGATAGGTAGATATTTGGCTTTATTGTAATCCACCAGTTTTCCAAAGTTGCATTATTTTACACTCCCACCTGCAATGAATGAGAGTTCCAGTTGTTCTACATCCCAACCAATTGACAATGGGCTGCAAACAACTGCCATGTTGGCATTGTCCTTGATGGTGAAGGGGATTGCAAAGAATTTCTCTTATTTCCCTCCCTTCTGCACCAGTATCAAACTGTGGCTGTCTGCCTCTTAAATATGATGAAATCCTGGTTGATCCAGGAGCATTGTGAGGCCGAGGGGTAGACAGAGGGGACACATGTCATCAGTCTATGGGAGTCCATAGCCATTGAGTTAATGCCAGCTCATAGCAAACTTATAGGACAGGGTAGAATTGTTCCATAGGGTTTCCAAGGCTGTAAATCTTTACAGAAGCAGACTGCCACATCTTTCTCCTGGGGAGTAGGTAGTGAGTTCATACTGACGACTTTTTGCATAGCAGTCGAGCACTTTAACCACTGCATCACCAGTTAGTCCTTACAAATTCTGATGCATCTAGGTGGAGTGTAAAAAGGAAGAGAGCGGCAGATGAATATATGTCCCCAGGGCATCTTCTACCCACTCAGCACATTTATGACCCTTAGCTGCTCATCCCAGGCTTGATTACCAAGCCTTCTCTTAGCACACTGCAGGCACCTGGTTAACGTCAACAAGTTTATTGTCGCTGCTATCCCCCCTTCCCACTTGGCCTTCCAGCTATTCTGTCAGCCACAAGCAGATTATTTCCCTTAACTGGATGCTAGAATGAAAGGAAGTTTATTTAATATGTCACTTGAAATGTTCTATCATGTCCAAGACTTCTCATCAACTCCTCTCTCCATTCTAAAGCCCAGGAAAAAAAGGGGAGAGGAGAAGACATGGAGAAGAGAAGAGAGAGATAAATTCATGGAGGAGAAGATCAGAAGGTCCTGGGGTGCCTTCTTGCTCCAGGTTGAAAATCCCCATTATGGTATTTTTCTATTTGCAAAACATTTCTTCCTACAGGATTTTTTTTTTTTTTTTACACGAGGAATAGAATTTTAAAAGGGAGAAATGATTTTCTGAGAACCTGAGAATCTTCATAAGACTCACCACTACCAGTTACTGTCGAGTTGATCCAAGTCATGGTGACCCCATGTGTGTCAGAGTAGAACTGTGCTCCACAGGGTTTTCAATGGCTGATTTTTGGGAAGCAGATCTCCAGGCCTTTCTTCCAAGGCCCTTGTGGGTGGACTTGAATCTCCAACCTTTTGGTTACCAGCCTAGCACATTAACCCATATGGGTAAAACTGCCACTAATAATTAGCTGTGTGACATTGGGCATGTCCGTTAGGCTTTTTGAGACTTAGTTTCTCTAGTGTAAAATGTGTAAGACCAGGCTTCACACCCTTCAGGTGGTGGTGGTGATTCTGGGAGTGTGTGCAGGGGCAATGCCCAGCCACACGTGCCCTTTCAAGTAGCTCCATACGGTAAACCAGTATGCTCAGGGGCACAGTCACATAGCATCAGGTCAGTGTCATCTAGAAATTCTGGCTTATTGATGTGGTCAGACACTTTTGAACCTATGTGAACCAAATATGATTAGGTTTTCAGAGGCGGGGCAAGATCACTGAGAGGAAGAAAAGATTACTGGGATTGGGAGTGACCACTTCCCTCTCCCCAGTCCCATCCTCACCCTTCCGCTTTAAACCCTCCTTCCCCAGCATTCTAACTTTGTCTCTCAGACTTACTTCCTCTTGCTCCTGGTTCCTCCCCCTTGAATATCTGCCAAATTTCTTTGGTTTCTATTTCTATGTGAAGTCCTTCCACTGTGCAGAGGACTGCCTGGCAGATGTGAAAAGCAGCAGCAGCCCCAGAGGTGCAGAGAGATGGCTTTCAGCAGTGCCCAGCCTCCTTACCTGAGCCCGGTGAGTGCTGGGGCTGAGGGCATGGGGTGGTGCTGGCCAGCCAGGCTGTTACCACAGGCAGAGGAAGGAGCTCTGGGTCTCTGAGGAAGCAGCTCTTGGGTGGCAGGAGGTGGTTGGGGATGGGGGCGGATATCCCAAGGAGAACACAAGCAGGGTAGAAACGCCAGATGGGGAAATTCTGATGCAACTTCTGTTCCATGCATGCAGGTCTCCCCAGTACCTTTCAGGGACTAAGGGATGATAATCATGATTTGTGCATTGGTCTGACAAATGGTTACTCAGCTCCCTCTGGGTGCCTGTCCTGTCCTAGGTGTTGAGGGGAGACAGGCATGCCTAATAACCAGAAGGGTGATGGGTTGTATGAAAGGGGAAGGAAGCAGGGCTTCTAGAAGTGATAACAACCTAGCACTTTGGAGAAGGCCTCCCTGGGTTCAAGTCCTGCTTCGGCCATTTTTTACCTGGGTGACCTCAGGTAAGTTACTTTCACCACTCTGTGCCTCAGCTTCCACGTCTGTAAAATGGGGATGACTCTTGAGCCCACCTCTCAGGGCTGGAATAAGGATTACAAGGGATAGCATAACTGGAGTGCTCAGGATAGCGCCTGACACACTGTGAGTGCGTTCTAAGTGCCATAGGAGCCTGGGAGGTGTCTATACCCTGACAGGTGAGTCAACATTAACAAGGAAGGGGCAGTGTCAGGAGTGGGGACTGTCCCTCCAGGGTAGGGGGCAAAGGGCAGCCTCTGCACCATTTTGCCATGTGTGCCTGTCTGCAGGTGGCCATGTTTAAACCCTGAGGGACTTATTGTCTCTATTTCATATATGGAAAAACCGAGACTCAGAAAGGCTGAGGTCACTTGCCAAATGTCCAAAGATGATAAGTGGCAAAGAAGGAAGGTACCTTGATTTACCCCCAGAGAGAGAATAATGGGGGGAATGAAGGGAAGCAGCAGCTCCAGGCCCAGGAGTCTTCTGTGGTTGTTGTGTCCTGGGCCAGGCTCTGCAGTAGGAGCCTCTCCTGGCCTTGGCAGAGAGCTTCCTGAGGGGCTGGAGCGGTGAGATGACAACTCTTCCTGGGCCAGGGGAGGGAGTAGGGGCAGATGGGCAGTAGCACAGAGCTGAGGGAGGGGAAGCTGCTAGGGCCTCACATTCGAGCCCAGGTCAGCAGAGGCCCCTGCCTGGCCTGACCTGTTTCCTCTCAACTGTCACTGGTGCCCCCTTAGCCAACCTGTGGAGGCTCCTGATGTGGGACCTGCATAGAGTGGTTGAGAGACCTGGGACAGGCCCTGTCAGCACATTAGGTGGCACCTGAGGGTCAGAGCACATCAGCTTGGGCAGGTTACTCCTCTCTGGTTCTCCTCAGACAGTGTCCTGAAGTTCCTTCAGCCTCTGACATTTTATTATTCTGGTGCCTACTTTTTACTTTCCAATCCTTTGGCTCAGTGGCCAAAATTTTCAAGCCAGAAGGAAAATTCTCCTATGGGTAACAGAGAATTAAAAGAGAGCCTTGGGAGTCCAGACAAGAAAAGGCCAATGCCCCTTCCCTCCCCTCACATGCTTGTAGGCTCCCTCAGCCTGGGCAAGTTGAGACTCACCAAGGTGACCCCTGACCTTTGGCAGTCAGAGCCACACTTCCTCCAAAATGCTGACTTGTGTGAGACAGTTGTGTGGCCCCACTGTTCTGCTGAGAAGTTACCAGAAGATGAGGGCCTGGCTTGGGAATCTCATCTTCCACTCCTCACCCACCCCCAGGCCTGCCTCCTCAGAGAGCCATGAAGGAAGCTGGAGCCAAAGTCAGGGTAGGGCTGGCTGTTTGGCTCAGGAAGTACTTGGTGAACTAGGACAGTGATGTGTGGGGGTTGAAAACATGGCTTCTGGGGTTTAAATTCCAGCTCTACTGCTGACCAGCTGTGTGACCTTGAAGAAGTCACTGAAACTTTCTGTGGCTTAGTTTCCTCCTCTGTAAGATGTCCCTACTAATGCTCAGGGTTGTTATGAGGGTGTTGCCGGGAACTCCAGGTTCTGCTCGGCGTAACTTCATCAGGGCCAAAAAGACAGACACCGAGTTGAGGAGAATGAAAAGCAACTTCACTGGTTGGCCAAGTAAGGCGACAGTCAGGGATAAGTGCCTTCCAAGACTGCCTTGTGGGCAGCTTGTAGAGGCTGATTTATATAGGCAGGATCAATTTTTTTTTTTTAATTGTACTTCAGGTGAAGGTTTACAGAACGAATAGTTTCTCATTAAACAGTCAGTACACATATTGTTTTATGACATTGGTTAATAACCCCACGACATGTCAACCCTCTCCCTTCAGGACCTTTTTTTTTTTTTTGTGAAAATACACATAGCCAAAGATAAACCGTTTCAAAAATTTCTACATGCGTAGTTCAGTGACATCTATTACGTTCTTCCAGTTGTGCTGTTATTCTCACTTTAGATGAAGGTTTACAGAACAAAATAGTTTCTCATTAAACAGTACACATGCTGCCCTGTGACAATGGTTAACAACCCCACTACATGTC